TGTTATTTTTAATACCAAGGGCTATTACAGCCTCTGCAATACAGTTGCAATACCCTCCCTCACATAATTTGAATATAAATATTGTGACTTTAAACTTTTCATCAATAATAGCGAATAAATGTAACTAAAGTATTCCAGGACATGAATGTGTGAACAGTTCTGCAGTCACTGTTTGGGTGTCTCTGTGAGATCACCCTGAAGATGCCCAGAGTGTGTCAGCTGCCAGAGCAGAGGTTATGACTGCTCACACCAACAACCTGCACAGTGGCAGCTGGTGCTGCTCCTCTTGTCACCGTGGCACCCCAAGATGTGGCTCTAGAGATGGGGTTTGTGGCCTCGTTTTCCACAGTCTTGTGCAAGAAGTCCTCAAATCACACGCGAGGTGCAGGAGGATGACTGCTGCTCAAGCAGCTCTTTCTGCCCTCAAAAAGAGCGCACTCACCAGGTGTGGTGAATGTTACACGTGCGTCAGAGCCTGCAAAACCTCCCTCAGTGTCTGTGGACACATCTACAGGCTTTGAATATTTTACCTCCATCCTCTCAGGCCAGAAATGGAAATAATAAAAATATAAATTCTGTCTTTTCTGGGCACAGATACACCACAAGCCTCTCTATCTCTTCCTCTCTCCTTTCACCCTTAACCCCCCAATACATCTTAAAGCTCTGCCAAGATATCTGGGTTACTGAATCTGAGATAAACTGCCTGATAGGTATTGTTCCCTGTGGACTTTGGGCCCATTAGCAGGACAAATGATCTGCAATTAATGTGCTCAGAAGTTTTGATTTGGGGAGGGGAGAGTGGAAGGGACAGGGGGATGAGAGGAAGAAAGAAAATGAAGAAGATAATTTTAATACCTTTTTTTTCTCTAAGGGCTTGTTTGTGCGGGTAGAGTGTATTTAGCATAGCTGGAACTGACCTTTTGTTCAGGCTCTTCTTTATACTTGGATAAACTGACAAATAGCTCCGTGATCCTTGGATGAAACATGCACTTCTATCCAGTAAAAATATACAATTTCTACAATCACACAGGTGTGCCTGTGCTTATAAATATAATTCCCATTTGAAATTTGAAATTTGAAAACAGACCCGCAAAGACTTTCAAGCACAACCTCAGTAACTAGGTACACAGTAAAATTCAGAGGTGACCTTTTTGTTGTAAGTTCTATTACTTACCCTCCAACTATCCTGTATTATTTAAATTCTGTTTACAACATTTGATTCATATCACAATTATTTACAATTTGACAATATTAAGAGTATTTTCCTTTTGTGTATCGTTATGCCTAACTTATTCTCTGGCAATGTTCTACTTTGACTGAACCCTGTGTTTCTTTTTTACACCCAATCAATGTCTGGTTTGTGTAATTTTGGCACTTCTTTGTTCTTACATCTGTAAAAAATTCTACTATTAACACAATTCCCAGCTGATAAATTCACTACTCCTAATATTTATTTCTAAACAGTAATAAATCAACAAAAGAAATCCTATAATGATCTTCTTGCCTCTCCCATGCTAAACTACTACCTACCAAGTCTTTTCTAGCAGGGTCATTTGCCTTTAATATAATCTTGGATGGCCCAGTGAAACTGAGAGAGGCTGACCTAAATATCCAGTGGTTAGTTCATGTCTTTGAATCAACCACAGCAAAAATTTGAACCTTTAAAATATCACCAGGCCACACAGGTGTCCTGGCTACTGGGATAATTATCCATCCTGGGATCATTTCTGGCCCCCTCTGGGTCTTTTTTTCTAGCCCTCACTAGTGAATTTTTGATTAAAACATTTCTATTTCTCATGAAAAGCCTTAGTCAGACAACACAGCATTTTCAAACAGAAAAGTGTTCCCTTGAAAAATCTCCTGTTCAGCTGTGGTTGCCATGGATAAGGATGTAAATCTTTCACATGCATAAAATCATATAGATTATCCAGCTCTGCTTTTACTTTGCCTAGCATGTTTTTCACATCTAAATGGGCATCATTAAAAGACTTAGCTCCAGCAATTAAGGACATGCTAAACCTCAATGTGTTGGACTGGATTTTCACTGGGTTGAATTTTTCAGTTCTGTAATTCCCAATGTCATTCTTTCATGAAGCCTCACCCTCACCTCCAGACACACTAGCAAGGAGAGCTGATACTCCACACTATCTTTCAGTATCTTTAGAATGCCTCACCAAAAATATTTAAATATGCCCTTAGAGAAATAATTTGCTGATACTGTTTTTTCAAAACTCTGAAGTCCCACAGTTCTGTTTGAGCCCCAAAATATCCCTGACTTCAGGAATGGAGTAATTTCTCTAATCTTTCTAGAAATCTTCACAAATTACTTGCATACTTTAGGATTTCTTTTTCCACAGTTCAGAAACTTTTTGAAAATATAAGAAAGCCCACAATCAAAACAACCTCACAAGGTTGGTAGACCTAAACATGGATGCTTAATTTATTGTATGAACTATTGAAAACCTTGGCACTGATAACTGTCTTGATAAAATGACTGTGAAGCAGCAAGGAAGATGCATGTGACACGTTATTTACACGCTGGTACTGTTTTTCATCTAATTTGCACACAGACTCAAGCCTTGCAGTTTTTACACTTCATTAACAAAATTCATTATACCTAATACACATTACTTCAATCTGTCTGCTCCTGGGGCTTTAAGACAGATCTGTGTATCTTTGTTAGGTGAAGTCTACTACAAAACTGTAAAATACAGCCAGTCAGGGAATGCCTTGCACTTCCCAGTCCTGAGAATTACTACTTGAGTTATCTCCAAATGCCTAATTCACCTACTGATTGACTCTTTACTCTTTCCTTGACACCTGATTTCTGTTTTTACTGGATTTGGATATTCAAGGATTTCCTCCTGTCCTCAATGAATGCCCTTTCTTGTCCTGATTTTTCACATTGCTTCAAACACTTTTGAACAAATGTCGTTATTTTGCTAATCCTCTGCATGGAGTGGCTATGAGAATTTTAATTTCCTCTTAAAATCTGCATAGTATTTGATCATAAATTCACAGGAACTATGCAAATCCTTCCTTGCAGAGCTGCACTGATTCCCAGCAATATCACTGCTGTTTTGTATTTTGACGTACAACTTGTTCTCTCGCTGTGCCTGCCATTTGCTGCTTTCTTACCTTCAGTTGTTTTGCAGTTCTCTGCTAATTCTGATGACCTTTTTCCTTGTTCCCACTACTAGCTTTTAAAGCCAGATGGTTTGCATAACCCACGAGAATATACTAATTTATGTTTCAGCACTTTCATTTCTCATCTTGTCCTTTCCACAGAATGCTTTTCCCTCCTTTTCTCTTTCTCCTCTTATAGTGCTCAGATTTCTCTCAGTGTCGTCAAAATTGATTTTTCTGAGGTAAAGGACCTTTTGGCTTAGTGAAACCACTCTCCTGCAAGGCATAAACAGTCATGTAACAGACCTCAAGAGCGGGAATGGTAAAAAAGACCATCCAGTATCAATACATTTTTTGAAATTTCTGTTTTCTGAATCAAGTATTGCCCTTTTTTGCATCTGAGTCACCAACCTTAACCACAAAGGAAAGGAGGTGACTTTGCACCAGTTCTAGAAGCAATGATTTTTTTTTCCAGCACAGAGGTTCATGGTTTCCCACAGAGCAGAACTGAGAGAGGACAAGAGTTGTCTGCAGCTGTCTGCAAGTGCCCCTTGTTCTCCCCATGGGCTCCCATCCAGCCCCCCTGCCCCAAGTCTTGGAAGTGAGCAAGGAGGAAGGTCTCTGCTCTTCCAGGGTTAGTCTGTTCTGTGGACTTTTGTTATTTGCTTTTCTGCTCTATGGCAAAGCCACTTCATGTACTAAAATTGTTACTCTTTTTAAATATCTCGAGCATGTCTCAGTCTGGTTAGAGGCAGAGATGAAGCATGTCAGGTGTAGTTAGGGCTGTCTACCTGAAGGTCGTGGGAATCTGAAACTTCAGGGAGGAATAAAGCAGATGTTTAGGTGACAGAGGGGGCTGGGACCAACATCATATGGTGTGGCATGGAGCTGGCTGTCCTGGCCAAAAACACATCCCCCTGTATGGAGACATGGCACCTTGGTGCTGTGTCACCTTGGTGGCTGTGGCTGCTGTGTTAAAGGCTGAGTAATATTGCTACAGTGAATTTGTGAGAAAAGGAGACCCTGTGAACCACGAGGACCTTCATAAGCTTGAGACTCCTGATCCCTCCTGGCAGCCCAGACTGATGCTTCCACTTGCACAGAGTGATTTGGGGACAGGAGGGGGAGGATGAACATGTCACACCTGTGGATGCCTCCCAGGAAAACTCACAGAGGTGTTTACCTGAAGGCTGTTTAAATCCTTTGGAATAGCCAGTAATTTTCTGTACTGGAGGAAGCATTGGTACACAAACAGCTGCTGAGGAGACCCCAGGGAGGATCCACTCAGCTGGCACGTTTCAGGACAAAACTTTGATAGGGTGGACTGGTTTCACAGAATCCCAGAATTTGTAGGGTTGGATGTCCCTTCCAACATCTGGAGGGACATCTGGAGATCACCTTGGCCAACCTCCCCGCCAAAGCAGGGTCACCCGGAGCAGGTGACACAGGAACACGTCCTGGAGGGTTTGAATGTCTCCAGAGGGCAGACTCCATGACCTCCGTGGGCAGCCTGTTCCAGTGCTCTGACACCCTCAACGCAAAGAAGCTCTCCCTCTTGTTGAGGTGAAACTTCTTGTGCTTCAGTTTATGGCCATTGCCCCTGTACGGCTCCATTGTCTCCCCGTACAGGTGTGTGAAACAAGCACATTAACTCCCTTCCATGCCCAGCCATCTTTACGGGGGCTGCCGGGCAGGATCGCGGTCCCCGCCAGGGCCGGTGCGGGCCGGGGGAGCCGCAGCGCTGTCCGTGCCCGGGGGAGCCGCTTCCCCCGGTCCCGGCGGGGCGGGCAGGGCGGAGCGGGCGGCGGGGATCGCTCCCCCCTCACGGCAGCCGGGCGGGCCCGGGCGGGGCCGGGGGCGGGCGGCGCTGGTCGCTGTCCTGGGTGTTGAATCTGCTGCGGCTGCCGGAGCCGGGGAGCGGCCGCGGGAGCCACAGGGCGGGCGGGCGGCATGGAGTGAGGGTTGGCGGCGGCGGGCAGGGGAGCGGGGCATGCGATGGGCCAGGCATGATGGGGACGCTCGGCTCCGTCCTTCCGCTGCTGCTGCTGCTGCTGCTGCTGCCGCCGCCGCCGCCGCTGCCGCAGGTGCTCGCCGCCGCCCCGCGCATCCAGCCGCCCTCCGCGGGGGCCGCCGCCGAGGCGCGGATCGGTGAGTGGGGCCGGGGGCGGGGGGCGCGGGGCTGGCGGGGAGCGCACCCCGCGCTGCTGCCCGGGAGCTTCCCCGTTGGCAGCTCGGCAGGGCCCCGGCGGCCGCGCCCGCACGGCGGACGCCGAGGGGCCCGTCCGCCCGTCCCTCTCCAGCGGCTCCGGGTAAGCGGCCCCGTCCGCTCGTACCTCAGCGCCGGCTCCGGAGCTCCGTCCTCTGGTCCCTGGCCGCCCGCTCCGGATAAGCGGCCCCGTCCGCCGGTGCCTCCGCACCGCCTCCCGCTGCCCGTCCCCGGGTCTGTCAAGACCCGCTCCCGGCCCCTCGCTCCTCCTGCACCCCGGCGTGTCCCGTCTCGGGGGACAGCTCTGCGGGCCGGCTCTCGCCCGCTGTCCCCGCATGCTGAAAACTTCCGCTCACGAGGCCCCTAAAATCGAGGTGCGCCAGTGACGAGTCCCCGAAACCGCTTCCAGCCTCCACACATATTTAACCCTTTTCCCGGTTTGCTGGATTCAGCCCACCGAACTGCCCGTATATAGGAAGGAGACAGGAAATCTCCGGGCCACAATCCCCCAGATGCAGCCTCTGGTGGAGTCCCCCCTCCGACTCGTGCTGCTGGAGGTGGAAGTCAGCCCTGGCTCCGGATTAAGGCTCTTTCGGAGCTGTCAGAAAACCCCCAGTGCTGCCCAGTGCGGACCATTAAACAGCGGCTTTGTGTTGAGGCATTCTTGACCGACCCCTTCTTCATTTAGAAGGTACCAGCTGCACTCAGCATCCCCACCTGGGAAGTGACCCACGCGGGCATGAAGGGATCCTGGAAACAAACTCTGTCTGTTTCACATCGATGCAATTCTCCTGTGACGCTCTCCCTGGCAGTTCTTTCCTTGCATTGAGACATTCTGCACTGTATGCTCACCTGAATTGTCTATTAATATTAATATCTATTTATAGAGTCAGTCTCATTTCACTTACAGTATCTTCCCAAAGCTCACTTTATGTCAAGAAGGTCATGACATAATGAATTTTGTATTTTTTCACATTTTAATGTCTACCTAGGGTGGTTATGGAGATCAGAGTGAAAGCTAAACAAACTACCACTAAGAAATGTTTTTCTAAGACAAAAAAAATTAAATCCCTTTAAGAAACAAAGAAAACCTTCCAGAGGAATATTGCTGCAGTTTTCCTCATGTACATTCTGTTTATTAAGAAGGAATTAAAATCAGCTGACCATGTTTATAATGAGGCTTCAGTCAAGTGGCAATAAAAATGAGCTATTATGCTTGCTGTAGTGAAGGTAGTGATGCAAGGTTTTAAGGAGAAATGGCTTGGACTGGATTTATCCATCCCTCTTCTCTCCTGGTTGCTATAGATATGGACTGTTTCCCCTAATCTGCTGAAGAGACAGCTTGCATAAAAATATTGCAAGTAATAGCTGTATTTTTTTTCCTCTAATAATGCAATAGCCTGCCCTGTGCTTTCGAAGTAGTCAGATGTTGATTCTCTCTCCCTAAACACAAACTGCAAATCTGTTTGGGTCACGGGGTATTTTTTCAGTTTGTTGTAGCTGAAACACAACAACAATGTGTGTGTTTGTCACTTCCCTCAGCTTCCCCATGCTCCTGCCTCAGCAAGGATCCCTGCCTGCCAGTTAAGGCTGTTCTTGCATGGAAGGGACTGGGGAAGGGCAGCCTTGCCTTTACACAGTGAATCCACTGCTCTGGAGGTAGAACTTGGAGGCATTTTAAAGGCAGCAAAACATGCTGAGCCTCCCTACTTCTTGCTGGGATAGGGACCTCACTGCTGTGTCAGAGATCTCTGTGAAGGATGGGAAGGGATTGATTGTGTTTGACAAGATGCAGGAAAATGTTTGCATTGCTTGAAGTGAAACAGTTTTGGCTGTCTCTTCCATTAGAGTTTCTTTGTTTCTTTTATTGACCAGTGTTTCAGATCTCATTAATCTTGAGCTCAAACTATTTATTATTGTAGATTCTGTTCAATTTTGGAGTACAATTTTTAGACACAATCAGAGGACATAACTGTAATTGTACAAGGTACCCAATTTTGGGGATTATTTCTGGTTATATGTGAAAGATACTAATTTGGTTTCTTCTTGTGCACAGTCCCAACTTCTATAATTGAAAATTGAAGACAGACAGATGCACTATGAGACCTCTAGAATGTGTGCTGAAAACTGCCTTAAGAGCAAAATAATTATAGAAACATATTTTTATTGGGTTTTTTCCCCCCCATTATTTCAAGAACTCTTCCTAAAAGTTGTTTGAGAAGCAGAAGTTCATGGCCTTTACCATTTCATGGAATGGGTTAATCCAATTTCATTCTTTCCCTCTTTTTTTATGGCCAACTTTTGTCTGCACTTTCCAGTATAGTGAACATCTTTACATGTTGACCTTTATTTTGCAACATAATTACAAACCTTTTAAAGAAATTAGAAGCTTTAAAGTTGTAGATAACTAAGATTCAAGATTTAGACTCCTGCTTCTTCTGCCTCTATAATTCACGAAGCTTCGTAGATTCTTCCTGTGTTGATGTGTTTTGTTAAGGTGCAATTACCAACAGAAGCACATATTCTTCCATTTCTTGATATTTACCTTCATCATTCATCATTTTGTGATGATTTATTGTAACATTTCAATGTGAAAAAAATAAGGAAAAGTAAAGTCTTTTCTCTCTCTTTTTCTTGCCTAGTTCTAGGCCAGGAGAGAGATTTTTCTCTTTTTCACAGAAAAAAAATCAACTGAGTACATAGTAGTATTCATTAGTCTTTAATGAAACACTGGGGTTGGGAGTTTAATATTCTAAAGAAATCTTTATTAATTTATGAGATACAGTTCACTTAAGATTATGGAGCTTCTTTTCAAGTGTTTTACAAAGTAATTGTCTATGGAAAAACACATCCTGATCATGTTTGCTCAGTTCCAAAGGTTTGGATTATTCCATTCTTTTGTTTATGGTCATAACACTAAGCAGTACCTTCAATAAAAACTGCAGCTCCAACTACTGAAATATTTTCATTGTGCAGCCTTTTAAGTAGACTAATTGATTCAGAAAGTTGCAGTGGTACTTTATTTTCATTTTAGGTAGGCTGGGTGAGGCAGAGAACTCAATAACAAAGTAAGCTGTGAGCATTCTTAATCACGTTCTTTCATTAGTATAAACCACTGCTGCTTTATAGCAGGGGTTGTCCTCATATGTTCCAGAAGAGAGTAAATGTGCTTGCTGCAGTGCCTTCACATTGACCTCTAATGTGTAAAATGATGCTTATAACCTTCAGTGAATATAATTTTGCAATATAATTTGATCTTTTGTGCTGTGTGCAATCCCATTTTTCAGTATGAGTTTTCCTATTAAATGAGTACATTGATATGCTGTGGAAATTTCCAGAAATATTTGTTCCACACTCTACGTAAATTTGTTCCCTACACTGTGTAAAAGTTCCTTCAGACTTGTACTGAAGTAATCACAGGCAGAATTTTTGTCTGTCAAATGAGTGTGAATTTACTTTTTTACTGGCTGACAAAAAGACAAGTCACATTTCAGCTGATAAATATAAAATATACTCCTAAACCTTTAGCTGTGAGTTCCTGACACATACAGTGTCTTACATTTCTCTAGGATTTAAATGTAATTGAGGATAGAAACTTTACTCAAAGACTTAAAAAATGTTGCATGTTAAGTTTAGTATCTCACAAAATATTTTATGCATATTTAACCACTGAAAAAATATTTTAGAGGTGGGTTAGGAGTTGCAAGTGGCTAAAGTTGATCAGAATTAAGAAAGTGCAACAGCAGGAACTTCAGTTGCTGTTGGTGAAAAGCATTTCTCCAGTGTTGATTCTTAAGCTGCAGGAGAGTTAAATAAAAAGTAGGACAGGTGAAAAAATTATTTATTTAGATTTTCTGCATTTCATTCAGTGTTTTGAACACTATCCAAAGGAGGCAGCAGCAGAGAGCTTTTGTCTGTGGATGTCACATGGGGAATGGCAAAGAAGTGTGTCTTGGTTTAGTTCTTGTTGGATGGATGTTACCCTAACAACACTACCAGAGCTGTTGTTCTCAGCCACCATTGTTACCTGCTCTGAAGGTCCATGAGGACTGAAATTTTTCTTCTTGAAGTAATTGAGCTGATGCTCACAGAAGTCAATGCCAACCTTCCCACTGACTTCAGTAGCATTTGGACCAAAGTTCTGGTTTGAGGCTTGTAGCAGGCTGGCTGAGAAAGGAGGAGAATTAGAGTTTTACAATCTGTTCAGTACAAAAAGAATTGCATGACTTTCCAGTCGCATTCATTTGGAACTTCTCATAGGCACTTTAGTTTTTAATAATGTCTTTAATGTAATTATTGGTGGTGGAGTGTAATTTATGATATAATACTAAAAAATAAAAATAACAGCAAAATAATTTAATTAAGACAAGGCTGTGTGCTCAGGATGTGAAGGATTCAGTGCAGGAAACTGGATTCTTCTCTTCATCAAAATATTTTTGCATATCCTAGAAATGTTTCCTAAATTATTAGTTACATTAAAAAGCAGCTTTAAGGTAGATTGATATCAAGGCACGTCTATCTGTCAGTTCCACTGAATCCAGGTAAGAACATGCATTAATATTATTGGCATCGTGCCATGACTGTTCTACTATAGCTTTTTTACTGTAACTTGTTTGTGTTAAAAGTTGCAAATGGACAGGAAGTGAATTGTTTTCTATCAGTCAAAGGAAGCAGTTGCAGGGTGCTCTGTCCATAGGACTGTCAGAACCCAGCACATCCCTCTGGCTGTCCTGAGCAGCCCAGACCCTGCCAGGGGGCTCAGAGACCCTGGCACAGAGCCCAGGGTGCCCCTGTGGGTTTGATTGTGACCCATGGAGCAAATTACCAACCTTAGATGAAGATCAGCAAGCCACAACAGCTAAGTAGAATGACAGTGAATTTATCACAGGGTGGAAAAGTAGATTTTGGAGTTTTTAGAATGGGGGTTCAAGGGGCAAGATGG